ACTAGAGTTTTGGACTTCAAGAGAGCTAATTTCAATAAACTTATAGAGGGTTTGGGAAGGATTCCATGGATGAGAATCCTCCAGGGGAAAACAATTCAAGATGCTTGGGAAATTTTGAAAAGTGAGTTAATAAAAGCCCAGTCTAGCACAATACCAACAAAGAGGAAAAATAACAGCTCTCAAAAGAAACCAGCATGGCTGCACAAAGAACTGTCTGATAAATTGAAAGATAAAAAGGACAAGTATAGAAAGTGGAAAGAGAGACACATAACTAAGCCAGAATATCAGCAAATAGCCCGAGCCTGCAAAGATGAAGTGAGGAAAGATAAGGCTCAAAATGAACTAAGGCTTGCGACCAAAGTCAAAAATAACAAAAAAGCTTCTTTCAACATGTAAACAAGAAGTAGGTGAAAGTGGCAAGAAGGTGACAAGCAACAGGGAGAAAGCAGAACTATTTAACTTGTTTTTTGCACCTGTCTTTACACAAAGGGAAAAAGCAGACCAACTTATCAAAAATAGTGCCATAAATAACAGAATAGAAATACAAGTTAAGATAGACAAGAAAATGGTAAGTGAGCACCTGTCCAGCCTAGACGAGTTCAAATCACCTGGACCAGATGGATTACATCCCAAGGTTCTCAAGGAACTGGCAGATGTGATCTCAGAACCACTGAACTATATTTTTCAAAGATCCTGAAGCACTGGGGAACTACCAGAGGACTGGAAAAAAGCTGATGTAGTTCCCATCTTCAAAAGCGGGGAAAAAAAGGGATCCAGGAAATTACAGACCTATCAGCCTGACCTCAATACCTGGGAAGATTCTGGAAAAGATAATCAAACAATGAATCAGCGAACACCTACAGGCAAACAAAGTCATTACTAAAAGCCAACACAGGTTTGTCAAAAACCGATCATGCCAGACAAATATTATTTCATTCTTTGACCAAGTGACAAAATTAGTGGACCAGAGGAATGCTGTGGATATAATTTACTTGGACTTCAGTAAGCATTTGACAAAGTAGATCACAACCTATTACTTGATAAGATAGAAAAATGCGGGTTAGACAGCATCACCACCAGATGGATCTGTAGCTGGCTGACTGGCCGTACTCAGGGTGTGGTCCTCAATGGAACCACATCTACATGGAGGGAGGTATGTAGTGGGGTGCCCCAGGGCTCTGTTATGGGCCCAGTGCTCTTCAACATCTTCATCAATGATTTGGACGAGGGGATAGATGGGGAACTCATCAAATTTGCAGACAACACCTAGCTGGCAGCAATAGCCAACACTCCAGAAGACAGGCTTAGGATACAGGAAGATCTGGACAGACCTGAACACTGGGTGCTATCTAACAAAATGAAAGTCAATGGTGAAAAAAGTAAGGTTCTACATTTAGGCAAGAAAAAACAAATGTATAAGTATAGTATAGGGGGTACCTTGCTCAATAGTAGTAACTGTGAGAGGGATCTTGGAGTCCTAGTGGACAATCATTTAAATATGAGCCAGCAATGTGCTGCAGCTGCCAAAAAAGCCAACACAGTGCTAGGCTGCATTAACAGAGGGATAGAATCAAGATCACACGAAGTATTAATACCACTCTACAATCCTTGGTAAGGCCACACTTGGAATACATTGCTTACTGGTGTACATCGCTTAGAGAGTGCTTGCACTTAAAGCGGTATATAAGTCTCATGAATAAATAAATAAACCACACCAGAAAAAAAGAACCATCAGATATTCTCAGAGAATCCTTCAAATTCACAAATTAAAATTCTACAGTGCTACTCACAAACCATACATATAGGAATATTTTTGAAAATGCAAACATCCTTTTACATTTATAGTCTTTAATATCAAAATATATCTGATGCTGACTCCTTAATAAGTTATTACCCAAGGAATAGATTGGGCAAATCTGTTGACCTTTTGTAGCACAAGGAGGATGAGATGGCTCCCCTCCTTATCCTGTGGGTTCTTTCTCCATAGGAATTTAGTTTGCTGGATCCTTGTTGGGACCCCATACCTGCCATGGCTGCAGCCTTGGAGCCTCCAATGTGTCTTGGACCTTCTTCCTTCTCCTCCAGAATCTGGATAAATATGCAGCCTTCAAAGCATGGGCCAGAGTCATAAATATAATGTGATCAGAGTCATTGTTTTCAATCTGGATGCTGCCCCTTTTCTCTTGAGTCTCCATTATTGCTTTTTGACTGCATCTTTTCCTGGCTTTGACAGAAAATATATGTTTTGAAAAAGAACAGTGAAATGATTGCTGTACAAACTGTGGATCTAGAGAGAAATAGGGTTCAAAAGCACCATATTTTGGACTATATTTTTGCAGAAAATCAAAGCTCCAGATACTATGGAGGTATTCAAGATAGTCATGATGATACATCAAATATTTTCCCAAAGTTGTGGTGATCCAGACTTTCCCTTCAATGGGTTTTGATAAATCTTTAAGTGTTAAATGAAAAGTACGAAATGTGCTTGAAACGATAACATATTCTGTGAAGTGAACAAAGACATTGACTTGTTTCCACTTAGAGCTGGAACCCCCCAGGGGTGCTTGATAAAGAGTCATGGGAATTTGTTGTGATATAACAACACAAATTCCATTCCTGACAAGCAAAGGAGGAAAACTCCTTAGGAAATTCTCTCCCTTTTCTGTTTCTGGAGCAAGGAGACCAATCAAGGTCCATCTGAAATGGAGGAGCAGTTGGACAATTGCTGGGTACTGAAACCCTTCTTTGGGGAGCATCCGGTGAAAAAAAGGGAATTCTCTTTTATCACTCAGAATTTCTGAAGCAATTTTATCCCTGATCTGAAAAAGTAATGAAAAATGCTGAAGTTTGTTTTGACGAACATATTTGAATAGTTTGTTGATTAGTTATTGCGTAAAATATTAAACACAGAATATTAACAAAACTGTATATAAAAATGGAATACAAGAAATAAACTAAATGTATTAGAATAATAATAAAAATGCAAATCATATTTCTCCATTACCCCTACAATTTACCACAAATAGACTCAAATATGGAGATGTTAACTTAAGTATATTGTTCCAATAAAGGGCAATGTTATATTTAACGTCTGAAGATCTGCTACATCTTTCTTCACTTTTATATCCAAGATTCTTTGGGCAGCATTTTTTTTAAACCTTCTTCTCCAGTTGTACAAGAGACAGGGAGAGCACAGCTCTTCATATAATTTGTCAGTTGTATAATCCAAGAGGTCTTTAATTGAAATTCTGTCTGTTTTAACAGACACAATTTTGGGTTTCTATAAATTTAACTTTAAAACAATAATTATATGCCTTGATTTTAAAAAAATTGTGTAAATTCCAAATTCATCTCTTATGGGAACAGCTGAAGTCCTTGGGACTGATTCCCAAGATACTTCTCAAATGCTGTCTTTGAGTTTGTTTAAAGCCCCAAACACAAGCTCAGTGTAAGAACATGGAGGTAACCTGGGCCTTATAACCTCTAATAATTGAAAGCTGAATAACTATGAATTTTTAATTTAAACAGCAGATTCACTCATGTCCTTGCTCTAAATTAGCTCCTTTAATGATGAGGTTCTTGCCCTGTTATCTGGGAATAGTTTGACTCTGTTGCTCCTGAGGAAGTGGGTCATGCCCAGGAAAAGGAGAGCATGCAAGGCCAGGAGGGATGGGACAGGGTGAGAGAAACCAGCCATGCCGGGATGTATCCGGCCACGTGGGACCTCGGCGAGTTAGTCGACGGCTGGTTGAAGAGGGACGTTGCCATCTCTGGGGCATGGTGTGCGTGCCCACAGAGAGGGCTCTGAGTGCTGCCTCTGGCACGCGTGCCATAGGTTCACCACCACTGCCTTATACCATTCCTGCAAGAGCATAAAGACCTAGTTCTGCCAGTTGGTTTGGTGCCCCAATGGGTTAATAATGGGCAATAATGGATCAATAGCAGATTCCACATTCCCCTCCCTCTCTTTCCCATCTTATAGTTATAGTTGGTAATCTTTTAATTTTATTGCATTTTTAGTTGTTATTACATATCTGTTTTTGTATAGGTTTATCACTTTTAATATTGTAAGTTGCCCAGAGTCATCTCACAGTGAGATGGGTGGCAAACAAATTTAATAAATAAATAAATAAATAAATAAATAAATAAATAAATAAATAAAGCCTGCTTGTTCTTCAGTTACAAATTCTTTGTTCATCTACCTACTATCAACTCTACTCAAGAGGATCTGAGCATTTATTTTAGGCACAATATCTATTTGACCAATGGGACAATAATCACTAGGATGCTTGTTATACCCTTTTTAAAATAGAAAATATTATTCCCCAAAACTATAGGGGTGTAAATCTACCTGCCAATAGTGGGACTCACAACCTGGAATATTCATTGAATAGTTCAGCTATTCATTGAATAGTTCAACTATTCATTGAATAGTTCATTGAAAGTTATCTCCAGGGGCTTTATTGTTCTTCAAGCCTTTCATTTGATTATGAGTACATTAGAATAAAAGGTTGTTGGCTGATAGCCTTGTAACTTTTTAAATAAAGTGGTTAATTACTGACAGCGATCACTCTTAGTCTTTAAGACATATTTATGTTTTATCAATTATAAGTAAGACTGAGAATCTTTTCATAAGTATGGGACTTGTTCAGCATTGAAAAATATCATTTTTTCCCTCTAAGATTATGTACAAAATATGAGCTTTTCACCAGCGCTTTATCTTCCTATTGTACAGAATGGTTTTTTGATTGAACAGAGAGCCTTTCCTCATCTTTACAAGTGTGCAACAGAAGTCCTCAAAGCAATAGGGATGGTGTCATGAGAACATATGTCTGTTTTGAACCATGCTCCCATCCTAATGTTATCTCAAATATCCAGCCATGATACCTACAATGGCCATAATAAAAAACAGCTCTTGAATTCCAGAGAAAGATGTGGCTGGATCTATCATGCACCCATTACCACCCAACTGACTTTACCAGGTACAAAAACCAACACACCTGTGGGACTTTATAGGTGCCTACTAATGTAGACATCTGGATGGAGATCTCCCTGTCAGCTGCATCAATAAGAGCCAAAAGGTTGTCCTTCCTTCCACAGCTGTAGTTAGGAACATTGGCTGTTCCAGTAGAGAGCATGTCCAGCAAGGCATCTGAAGTGCCAAGTGGGTTCAAATAGTTCTCATGTATGTTGTACCCAAATGTGAGATTATTCAGGAGCTGGAGTTTCTGGTTGACCACTTGAGTGGTGAAAATAAAGCATTCTTTTTCCCTGTTATCATAAGGTACTCTATTGTAAAAAAAAAAAAAGTGTTCCAGTTAGTATCAGCATAATCAATGTCAATCATCAAATATCTTTTTTTTCAACTTCATCCCCTTTGCCAACATATGACTATTGAGTCTGAAGCAAATACTCACCCAAACCCAGAGGCAAATGACCCACCAACATTAAATATTTGTGAATATTGAGAAATTGGAAGGGAGATAGTCCTCCACTAAGGCTAAGAATCACAAATAGTCCATCATTTCTAGCAGTATCATAAGGAAATGGATATTTCATAACTGACCAAAAAAATCATTCTAAATTCAAGTCATTCTCTATTCCTATAAAAATCAGCTATTGAATTAAATATCAATGAGTGGTTATAAAAATATGGAAATGAGCTGGTCAAGGGAAACTACAACAATTGCCCCTTTAAATCATGAATTCCTTAATTTGTTGGAGAAAGGAAAATAACGTGGATTTCTTCCAGGTATTTTTTATGTCCTGTCTTTGCATTTGTGTCTCTTCCTTGAAGTGTTGTGAAATGCTGTGGACATAATTTACTTGGGCTTCAGTTAGCATTTGATAAAGAAGACCACAACCTACTACTTGAGAAGGCAGAAAATATGGGTTAGACAGCATCACCACCAGATGGATTCATAACTGGCTGACCAACCACACTCAAAATGTCATCCTTCCATTCTGTTACAGTATATTTCTGTTATATTTCAAAAAATGACAGAAGAGGGAACCCATCAAAATCAGATTCAAGAAATTAGTCAGTTCCTGCAATATAGGAGCAAGTAGAATAAAAAGGGTGTTAGAAATGCAGGTGGAGGGAATACAACTCTATCACACTGAAAGACTTACAAGTAAGACTCACTGTAAGGAGCCATGTTGAAATTCAAAATTTTATGCCCCATAGTAAATGCACTGGTGACTATACTAATGAGATGGTCTCCTGGCCTATAGTAACTCCATGGTCTTTTTTCATCCAGGTGCTCCAAATTCAATGGGCACTTCATTCTAAGCTTTCCAGAGGCTGGCTGGGACATCAGCAGCAGCAGCACCAGCAGTAGCAGAAACAGGGGGTCCATAATTCATGGGGCTGAATCAATCCCCTGTTTTCAAAGATGAGTTAGATGAATTCAATGCACTCTCACAAAATGGAATAGCCAGTGGCTTTCCTCTTCCAAACAGAGACAAGCTGAGCTTCATGTGGAAAGGAGAGACTGTGCCTTCAGCAGCACAGTCCTTGCCTGTGTCCTAAATGTTGTGTAAACCATTCAGCATGAGTAGAAGCTTTTATCTTTCTCTTTGATGCAAGATCCATTCCATGTTGCTTCTGCCTATAACAAAGGCAGTCACTGGAGAAGTTTCAGTAGGTATCTCAAAGTCTGGGATCGTGATAATTACTGTAAGTGATAATTTGTGCTCTGGGGCTTTTGAATCTCTTCCAGGTCTCCATGTATAGAGGGGGCAGCTGGAGCAAAGCATGTCGCAGATACATCCCTGGGGAACCTCTTCTACAATGGTTGTCATCATTCATGTCAGGACATGTCCAGAAAGTGATGCTGGAGGAAGATACTTCAATATCCAGGGAACTGACTTCTGAAATCTTCCATTGTGGTACATTGTCTCCAGAAACTGCTGGGGAAGAACACCTGGAGCTATGGAGTTTTGTTCCAGTGTAGTGGTGCTCTAGTGCTCCTTGTCTTCTTAATACCAAAGAATCACCCTTGAACCCTGCCTAATAGTAAGAGTAGGTCCTCCCTCGAATTTTCTTTTCTATGAGATCTCTATACAGTGGGGCAAAAAAGTATTTAGTCAGCCACCAATTGTGCAAGTTCTCCCACTTAAAAAGATGAGAGAGGCCTGTAATTGTCATCATAGGTAGACCTGAACTATGAGAAACAAAATGAGAAAACAAATCCAGACAATCACATTGTCTGATTTGGAAAGAATTTATTTGCAAATTATGGTGGAAAATAAGTATTTGGTCAATATCAAAAGTTCATCTCAATTGTTGTTGTTGTTGTTAATTGCGAAGTCGTGTCCGACCCATCACGACCCCATGGACAACGTTCCTCCAGGTCTTCCTGTCCTCTACCATTTTCTGGAGTCCATTTAAGTTCACACCTACTGCTTCAGTGACTCCATCCAGCCATCTCATTCTCTGTTGTCCCCTTCTTCTATTGCCCTCAATCTTTCTCAGCATTAGGCCCTTCTCCAGTGAGTCCTTCCTTCTCATTAGGTGGCCAAAGTATTTGAGTTTCAACTTCAGGATCTGGCCTTCTAAAGAGCAGTCGGGGTTGATCTCTTCTAGGACTGACCGGTTTGAACGCCTTGCAGTCCAAGGGACTCGCAGGAGTCGTCTCCAGCACCATAGTTCAAAGGCCTCAATTCTTTTGCGCTCAGCCTTTCTTATGGTCCAACTTTCACAGCCATACATTGCAACTGGGAAAACCATGGCCCGGACTATACGCACTTTTGTTGGCAGGGTGATGTCTCTGCTTTTTAGTATGCTGTCTAGATTTGCCATAGCTTTCCTCCCCAGGAGCAAGTGTGTTTTAATTTCTTGGCTTTTCCAATTTTGAACCAATCAGTGGTTCCTTGTCCATTTCTCACTGTTGCTTCTTGACCCACATATAGGTTTATCAAGAGACAAATAAGATGGTCTGGTATTCCCATCTCTTTAAGAACTTGCCACAATTTGTTGTGATCCACACAATCAAATGCTTTAGCATAGTCAATGAAGCAGAAGTAGATGTTTTTCTGGAACTCTCTAGCTTTCTCCATGGTCCAGCGTATGTTGGCAATTTGATCTCTAGTTCCTCTGCCTCTTCGAAATCCTGCCTGTACTTCTGGTAGTTCTCGATCCACATACTGCTGGAGTCTAGCTTGTAGGATTTTAAGCATAACTTTACTAGCATGTGAAATGAGTGCAATGGTGCACATTTGAACATTCTTTGGCATTGCCTTTCTTTGGAATTGGAATGTAAACTGACCTTTTCCAATCCTTTGGCCACTGTTGAGTTTTCCAAATTTGCTGGCAAATTGAGTGTAGCACTTTTACTGCATTGTCTTTTAAGATTTTGAATAGCTCAGCTGGAATACTGTCACCTCCACTAGCTTTGTTGTTGCTCAGATTTTCTAAGGCCCATTTCACTTCACATTCTAGGATGTCTGGTTCAAGGTCAGTGACCATCTCATTGTGGTTATCTGGGACATTAAACACATTCTTGTATAGTTCTTCTGTGTAGTTTTGCCATCTCATCTTAATCTCTTCTGCCTCTGTTAGGTCCCTGCCATTTTGGTCCTTTATCATGCCCATCTTTGCATGAAACATTCCCTTCATATCTCCAATTTTCTTGAAGAGATCTCTGGTCCTCCCTATTCTGTTGTTTTCTTCTATGTCTTTGCACTGTTCATTTAAGATGGCATTCTTATCTCTTCTAGCTATTCTCTGGAATTCTGCATTCAATTGGGTGTATCTTTCTCTTTCTCCTTTGCCTTTCACTTCCCTTCTTTCCTTAGCTATTTGCAAAGCTTCCTCAGACAGCCATTTTGCTTTCTTTCATTTCTTTTTCTTTGGACTTTGTTATATATCCTTTGTTGGCAATGACAGAGGTCAAACGTTTTCTGTAAGTCTTCACAAGGTTGGCACACACTGTTGCTGGTATGTTGGCCCATTCCTCCATGCAGATCTCCTCTAGAGCAGTGATGTTTTGGGGCTGTCGCTGGGCAACACGGACTTTCAACTCCCTCCAAAGGTTTTCTATGGGGTTGAGATCTGGAGACTGGCTAGACCATTCCAGGACCTTGAAATGCTTCTTACGAAGCCACTCCTTCATTGCTCTGGCAGTGTGCTTGGGATCATTGTCATGTTGAAAGACCCAGCCATGTTTCATCTTCAATGCTCTTACTGATGGAAGGAGGTTTGCACTCAAAATCTCATGATACATGGCCCCATTCATTCTTTCCTGTACATGGATCAGTCGTCCTGGTCCCTTTGCAGAGAAATAGCCCCAAAGCATGATGTTGCCACCCCCATGCTTCACAGTAGGTATGGTGTTCTTTGGATGCAACTCAGCATTCTCTCTCCTCAAAACACGACGAGTTGTGTTTCTACCAAACAGTTCTACCATGGTTTCATCTGACCATATGACATTCTCCCAATCCTCTTCTGGATCATCCAAATGCTCTCTAGCAAACTTCAGACGGGCCCGGACATGTACTGGCTTAAGCAGGGGGACACGTCTGGCACTGCAGGATCTGAGTCCCTGGTGGCGTAGTGTGTTACTGATGGTTGTCTTTGTTACATTGGTCTCAGCTCTCTGCAGGTCATTCACTAGGTCCCCCCATATGGTTCTGGGATTTTTGCTCACCATTATTGTGATCATGTTGACCCCATGAGGTGAGATCTTGCGTGGAGCCCCAGATCGAGGGAGATTATCAGTGGTCTTGTATGTCTTCCATTTTCAAATTATTGCTCCCACACTTGATTTCTTCACACCAAGCTGCTTGCCTATTGCAGATTCAGTCTTCCCAGGCTGGTGCAGGTCTACAATTTTGTTTCTGGTGTCCTTCAACAGCTCTTTGGTCTTCACCATAGTGGAGTTTGGAGTGTGACTGTTTGAGGTTGTGGACAGGTGTCTTTTATACTGATAACAAGTTCAAACAGGTGCCATTAATACAGGTAATGAGTGGAGGACAGAGGAGTCTCTTAAAGAAGAAGTTACAGGTCTGTGAGAGCCAGAAATCTTGCTTGTTTGTAGGTGACCTCATACTTATTTTCCGCCATAATTCGCAAATAAATTCTTTCCAAATCAGACAATGTGATTGTCTGGATTTGTTTTCTCATTTTGTCTCTCATAGTTGAGGTCTACCTATGATGACAATTACAGGCCTCTCTCATCTTTTTAAGTGGGAGAACTTGCACAATTGGTGGCTGACTAAATACTTTTTTGCCCCACTGTATATTATATATTAGTCATAAATTAGAAGTGATTTTAAAATTCTTTCTACCTGAGGTGAAGTTTGTTATTTTCCATCTGTTCTAGAAATATAAATTTGTAGATGAGAGCTGATGAAGAAGCAGAAAACTGACACTGACATATCAGCACATCATACCTGAAAACCTCTGCAGGTAATTAAAGGTCAAGAAGGCAGGGAGGAAAAGGATAAGTACAAACAGTGCTTTTTTTGTAAAAAAAAAAAAAAGTGCTGGAACTCACACATGTCATACAACCCGCCTTGCCTACCCTACAAGGTTCCATCCAAAAAAGGTGCCGGAACTCCGTTCTGGGCGTTCTATGACAAAAAAAAAAAAAAGCCCTGAGTACAAAACACTTCTGGGCAAGGAGGAAAGAGATAAACTTTCAAGGCAGGGAGTGGAGGATTAAGAGCAAAGAATCTCCTAAAAAACAGTCAGAGATTTCCAGCAAAAAGAAGTGCATGTCACTTCATAAAGGGCCAATAAATTTTGTATTTTTTTTTTCATTTTTAAAATCTCTGAATTTTAAAAAAAATATTTTCAAATTTTTACTTTTTATTTTTAAAATTTTCAATTTCTTTTTCTAATTTTTATATTCTTTTTTCAATGTTTTAAAATTCTTTTTTCAATGTTTTCAATTTCTTTTTTCAAGTTTTCAATTTTTTTCAATTTTAAATGTTTTTTTCAATTTTTCAATTTCTTTTTTCAGTTTAAAAAATTTGAAAAAATATTTATTTTAATTCTTTAGACATTTTTAAATTCTTAACGATCTAAGAGGGAAAAATCACAGAAAAAAAGACTGACACTTCAAAACAGGGAAGATAATGATGAATTTTCAAGGCACAGAATAAAGGTAAGGTGACCAACTTTTTTACAATGAAAAGGAGGACACAAATAAAGAAGAAAAAAATATTGTAAATAAAAGAAAACATTTTATTCATCGCAACAATAATACAGACAACTTGCATGTGCAAAGTTTGCCAGCTGGGTGTTTTGGTGTGTTGAGCAGCAATTCCTATTGGCTTTCGAAAGCCAGTAGTGGGGTAGCACAGTTCATGCAAAAGTTGAAAACAAAACCCATCAAAAAAAGGTGCCGGAACGCCGTTCTGAGTGTTCTATGAGGAAAAAAAAGCCTTGCAGATTAGATTTCAAATATCGAAAAGGAGGACATGAAGGAGGACACTTTCTGAGGAGGACAGAACTCACAAAAGGGGGACTGTCCTCCCGAAAGGAGGATGGTTGGTCACCTTAATAAAGGGCCAAGAACTTTTGTAAGCTCTTGTAAACTGACACTTCACAACAGGGAAAATATTTAATTTTTAGAAAATTTTAATTTTTCAGTGAACTAAAAGTCAGATGAGACCAAAATGAAGCTCTTTGGCATCAACTCAACTTGCCATGTTTGAAGGAGGAAGACTACTGCTTATGACCCCAAAAACACCATCTCCACCATCAAACATGGAGGTGGAAATATTATGCTTTTTGGTGTTTTTCTGCTAAGGAGACAGGACAACTTCAGCACGTCGAAGGTACGATGGATGGGGCCATATACCATCAAATCTTGGGTGAGAACCTTCTTCCCTCAGCCAGGGCATTGAAACTGGGTCGTGGATGGATAGTCAGCATGACAATGACCCAAAACACATGGTCAAGGCAACAAAGGAGTGGCTCAAGAAGAAGCACATTAAGGTCCTGGATTGGCCTAGCCCTAGCCAGTCTCCAGACCTTAATCCCATAGAAAATCTATGGAGGGAGCTGAAGGTTCGAGCTGCCAAACATCAGTCTTGAAACCTTAATGACTTGGAGAGGATCTGCAAAGAGAAGTGGGACAAAATCCCTCTTGAGATGTATGCAAACCTGGTGGTCAACTATAAGAAATGTCTGACCTCTATGACTGCAACAAGGGTTTTGCCACCAAGTACTATGTCGTGTTTTGCAAAGGGGTCAAATACTTATTTCACTCATTAGAATGCAAATCAATTTATAACTTTTTTGAAATGCGTTTTACTGTCTCTCACGGTTAAAATAAACCTATTATTAAAATTATAGACTGATCATTTCTTTATCAGTGAGCAGACATACAAAATCAGCAGGGGATCAGAAAGTTTTTCCCTTACTGTACTTTATGGGAAGAAAAGTGTTTGAGATCTTTTAATATATAATTTCTTTGTCCAGATTTCTTTGGAGGTATTTACAGCATGGAATTAAGTTCATTTTAACTTCATACCTGTGGAATTTTGTAGATGCCCCCAAAAGTAGAAATATGATCAAAGAGTTCAGATTCTGTCTCTTCCTGCCAACAAGTTCTTTTGCCTTCCACATCTGTAGTTTGGGATGTTCTTCTGCCCTATAGACAGGAAGTCCATCATGGCCTCATAGGTTATTCTTGCATTATAATATAATAATAATAGTAGTAAAGTTGGAAGGGACCTTGGAGGTCATCTAGTCCAACCCCCTGCTCGGGCAGGAAACCCTACACCATTTCGGACAAATGGCTGTCCAGTCTCTTCTTAAAAACTTCCAGTGTTGGAGCACTTACTGCTTCTGGAGGCAAGCTGTTCCACTGATTAATTGTTCTCACTGTCAGGAAGTTTCTCCTTAGTTCTAGTTGCTTCTCTCCTTGATTAGTTTCCACCCGTTGCTTCTTGTCCTGCCTTCAGTTGCTTTGGAAAATAGCTTAATTCCCTCTTCTTTATGGCAGCCCCTGAGATATTGGAATACTGCTATCATGTCCCCCCTTGTCCTTCTCTTCGTTAAACTAGACATACCCAATTCTAGCAACCGTTCCTTATATGTTTTAGCCTCCAGTCCCCTAATCATCGTTGTTGCTCTTCTCTGTACTCTTTCTAGAATCTCAACATCTTTTTTACATCGTGGTGACCAAAACTGGATGCAGTATTCCAAGTGTGGCCTTACCAAGGCTATTGGATAAGAATCTTGATCTCATGAACAGCCGAGAAGAATGGCAGGATATGGCAGAACATTGTCAACTCACTGCAAAATAGCAGCCTATCTCTACAGTGATTCTAGGTGGCCCACAATCATCCAGAAAAACATAGTCAAAAACATATTCTTCCCCCATCCAGGTTCAAGACCAAACATCTAACAGATCAATGCTCCCACCCTAGATCAATGCATATGGGAAGATGCACGTATTCACAGTTGTCAAGAATGGTAAAAAATAGAGCATTACCAGGTGTGCCTAAAGTATGCATTATAATTATATTATTTCTTTTTATTAGACCACCCAGATAGTGACAAATGGCTGTACTCAAGTGCAGGATTCATTCTTGAGCAGGTGGAGATGGTCCACTTTTCAAAAAGCCATCCGTATATCCAGAGATTGCTTTGCTGCAGACTGTTGATGCTCTGGAGTGATTGCCCTATATTCAAAAATCTTTAATGTGATCCTCTTAGGTAAATCATTAATTTACCATGTAAGGTCTCTATTCCCGTTGAATTTGGTTTTTAAAAGGTATTCCTTTTATTTAAACCACAAGTAACATGGAAGCCTAAAAAAGCATACAAAATAGGTAAAAGGCATAGGTTGGAAAGAAAGGGAAGAGAGGGAGGGAGGAAGGATAGAGTGCAGAACCCCATGCTTTCATTTCTTGGCCAAAGGCCCTGAAGCCTGTCCTCGACAGGAAAACCACCTAAAGATAGGGTCAATCAGGTTTCCCAGAGGGCAAGGATTGACTTACATTGGAGCTTATCCTTCATTGGCATGCATAATTCATAATTCAAAAGGAAGGAAGGAAAATTCCATAGAACACAAAATAAGAGTTTAGTTCCATGCTATTTTGTCATATTTAAAATAAACTAGTTATGAAAGTAAAGAATAAAACTAGTAGCCCTCCTTAATTTTCATCATTAGTTGCTCCTTTGTGTTCATGTCAGGTCTCAGCATAATAATGTAGCATTTGGGGATAAAGATGCAGCCCAGCAAGCCCAAGCTGGAAGCCAGGATGGAGAAAATTTGCACAGCCACCATGTATTTCCCTTTAGTGCTCAGGTAGGTGGGGACAAAGGAGATCCAAACACTGCAGAAGACCAGCATGCTGAAGGTGATCCACTTGGCTTCATTGAAGGTCCCTGGCAGCTTTCGGGCCAAGAAAGCCACCATGAAGCAGATGGCAGCCAGAAAGCCCATGTAGCCAAGGGCGATGTAGAACATGATGACGGAGCCTTCATTACATTGCATAAGAATCTGTCCTGGTTGGGAATGCAGGTCAGAGTCAGGAAATGGGGGAGAGCTTCCCAGCCACGTGATGCAAATGCCCACTTGAACACCAGAACAAGAAAAAACAATTGAATTGGCCAGATTCTTCCCAAGCCATTTCCTCATTCGACTCCCTGGCTTTTTAGCCAGGAAAGCCACCACCACCATGACAGTCTTGGCCAGCAAGGAAGAGACAGCAACAGAAAAAACAATGCTGAAAGTGACTTGTCGAAGAAAACAGGTCAATTTGTTGGGCTGGCCAATGAATAGAAGAGAGGTCAAGAAGGAAAGGAGGAGGGAAACCAGGAGAACGTAGGTGAGGTCCCGGTTGTTGGCTTTGACTATGGGAGTCTCTTGGTATTTAATGAAGATTCCCAGAACAAAGGAAGTGGTTAGGGACAATGCAAGAGCAAAGGAAGCCAGGAGGAGTCCCAAAATTTCTTTGTAAGACAAGAAGCTTATAGTTTTGGGGACACACTGATCTCGCTGTTTATTTGAATGCTGGTCATCTGGACACCTGCTGCAATGTGCTGCATCTGAAAAACATTTGCTAGCATGAGCCGAGGTGGCGCAGCAGTTAGAATGCAGTATTGCAGGCCACTTTAGCTGACTGTGTTCAGCAGGTCAGAGGTTCAAATCTCACCGGCTCAAGGTTGACTCAGCCTTCCATCCTTCTGGGGTAGGTAAAATGAGGACCCAGATTGTTGGGGGCAATGTAAATATATATATACATTGCTTACTGGTGTACACCGCTTAGAGAGTGCTTGCACTTAAAGCGGTATATAAGTCTCATAAATAAATAAATAATGTATCTGTTTCTACAGCTGTGGGATCATGACAGATGCAGCTCAGATCTATTAATACTACAATACATAAAATGTTTTTGAAAGTAATGGGGTGAGAGAAGATATTGGGAGAGATGGAGAACCACTTTTTTAAAGGCTGATGACCAATACCGTCATGAACTCTCACAGGACTTGCTTCCTTTCCTGAAACCAGTCATGAATATCAAGATTCAAGAGACGTCAGCAACTTTATTCATTTTAATGGCCACACAATCACCAACAATCATTTGGTGATTGTTCCCAACCCTTGAAAAGTTTCAAAAATTTCAGTTTTATTTGTGTTATGGCACTAGCAGAGAACTGCTAGAATTAGGTCTAATAGTGTGAAAGAAAACACCTGTAAGTAATGTTTGACAGAAAAACAAGAGTGAATTTTGATTGCATCCAGAGCCACCTACCTTTTTGCACAGAGAATGTTCCTTCCGTACACAGAGAACAGTCGTAACAGCAAACTGGTGCTCCTTCTCTCATGAGCTTGACATGTCCTGGGGAACAACTTTCTGTACATCTAGATGAAGGTACTGTCTAAGCATAAACGTAAAGATCAGTTAGAGTGATATATGAATTAGAAAAGTTTATTTCAATGAACTAAATATTGTAAATACAACCAAGGAGTAATGGTATAGCAGTTATTTTTTTTAACAAAATTTTATTAAATTTATATAGGTAAGGAAAAATAGGAACAATACAGGTATGGTAAAGGGAGGGGTAAAAGGAAAGGGGGAGGGAAAGGAAATAAGGAATTAGGGTAAAGTAAGGATAGGTACAATCACATATTTCAACAAACAAGCAACCGTCCGGATCATAATAATGAGTAAATATCATATTCAACCATTTTTAACAAAGCTTAAACTGTAACATATTAAAAACAATTAGTAAACAAATACGTTGATCTATTAAGTAAACACTACTAATAAAATCTAAAAAAAATAATCCTAACAATCAAAAGTAACAAATGAAAATCAGAAAATCAGGAAAAGTAATCATATCATCAAAATGTTAGTTAGAACTCGATTAAAAATCAGTCATCTATTCTAAAATATTGAATCCTTCAAGTTCTAACGTGTCTCTAACCATTGATAAAATTTTTCCCAAGTTCTAAAATAAATTGAATCATCTTTTTTTTTTCATTTCTAATGTTAGTCTATCCATTTCTGCACACTCTAAAATTTTGATAATAATAATCTGGTCAGATGGTAAATTCTCATTTTTCCAAAATTGGGCAAATACTATCCTTGCAGCAGTTAAAACATGCAGTATCAAGTAGTCATTCTCGTTGCCATAATTAGGTCTTAATATTCCTAACAAAAACAATTCTGGTTTAAATTCTATTTGTAGTTTCATCATCTTTTCCAACCATCTATGGATCTTAGACCAATATTTCTTAGCGATAGGGCATGTCCACCAGGCATGGTAATAAGTGCCTGGCTGTTGCTTACATTTCCAGCAAATATCCGAAACATTTTTAAACATTTTTGCTAAGCAAACTGGTGTCATATGCCATCTATAAAACATCTTATATAAGTTTTCTTTCTATGCTACCACTTTTGTAAGCTTAATATTTTTATCCCAAAGTTTTTGCCAGTCTTCCAAATCTATAGAATATCCAAAGATCTTTGCCCATACTATCATTGTTTCTTTCACTTGTTCTTCTTCCATCTTCCAGTTTAAAAGAAATTTATAGTTTTCTAATCAAATTCTCATCTGTTTTTAACAAAATTTTATCCAATGGGGTCTGTTCTTTGTAAAAACCTGTCGATTTTATATCTTTTTTGTATCTTGTTTGAATTTACAAGTAGGACCAGCATGTCAAGTCAATACCTTGTAGTTGTAAAGTTTGCATGTCCTTAAGTTTTCCCTCTTTATCTAAAATGTCTTTATAAGCAGTTATTAATGGGGACCCCCCATCTTCCTTCCTTTCTAACTGCTGGAAATACCACCTAAAAGGACTCTGCACATGAGTGGCAAATGAAAGATGATTCTCTTTATCAAACTCTAATGTCAATCCTGAAACATTCTCTTGATTTTATTCCCCATTCAAAAGAAAAGTGGTTCCATTGCAATAGATGTTTCTTCCTAGGGCATGTATGGGAATGCTATATCTTATATTATTGCTTTCTCTTTCTTTCTTTCTTTCTTTCTTTCTTTCTTTCTTTCTTTCTTTCTTTCTTTCTTTCTTTCTTTCTTTCTTTCTTTCAATATTTTATTGATTTTTTAACACAATCACATTAATATTTGGTAAACAGCATGTTGTCTGGGTTTATATTTTTAAAAAATCAATAACAATTAGTTTCTATAATTTTATATTCCACATTTTTCTAATATTTCTGCAAATAATAACCACATCAATATAAAGCTTCTTTTCTAACTGATCATCCTTCGTCATAGATCCTGTTTACAAAAATCTTGTTTAAGTTTGTTTTCCTCACAATATACAAAGCATTCTTATTGGTAGAGATTTTCTCAAAGATAATTACACTTAAGTATTTAAGTCTTTTTCCTCATATAGGCCATCCCAACACTTTTACATTTCTCATATCTTAAAAAAAAAAGAAAAAAAGAAAAAGAAATAAGAAAATAATATACTACTTAAAATACATGTCCCTCTTAGGCTAATGTACATTTATATGTACATTATATTTTCTTTTTAACCATATTCAAACATATGTTTAATCTTGAAATGTTCCATTTAATATATCTAATTATCTAACCTTTTAGATTTATTCAAAACATTTTTATTTATTTAAGTTTTCTCAAGATCAATTACAATTAAGTATCTAAGACATTCCCTTTATATAAACCATCCCAACATTTTTATATTTCTCACGTCAAAAAACAAAAGAAAAAAGAAAGAAAAAATACTATGTTACTTGAGGGCCTCATCCTTCTTAAACTAAAATTCATTTATATCCAAAATCTTTCTATTTTTTTAGCCATATTCCAACAGATGTTTAATTTTTAAATATTCCCTCTGATAGGTCCCATTGTCTAATTTCTTAATTCTCACTTTAGCCTTTTTTTTCTGCCAAACATCTTTCCTGATCAATATGCTCTACTGAATCAAAGATTCTTCCCATAATCTTATAGATGTTGTAAGTACAAAAGGCAAATCAAATAAGATGTTTTTATGGGAAGGTTTTGCCTATCCATATTCATTGAAAATCTTTTCCTTTCTTTCTCTCTTAATTTCTCTTATCATTTTTTGTCTGTCAAGTTCTTGTGGTTCTTCTGACAGCTCTGTAATGCATTTTGTCTAATCTTTTTTCTTGTCCTCAGACTTATTTTGTGATCCTATAGTATGAGTTATCTTTTCCATATCCAATATTTCCTGCAAGTTTTTTCCACCTGAGTTAAGTCATTCTTCCTTCTATTGTTCGATTCCATCTTTAAATCTCTTTCCTCTAGTTTATATTCAGTTGTCTGCTTTATCTGCTCATTCTCAATTTTTATTTTTTGAGAGTTTTTTGTTGTTGTAAAGTTAAATTGGAGATGTATTCATTATATTTTCAAAGTTATTTTTAATTTCCTCGTGGTTTCAGATCAATATTGTTTGAATTATTTGCAACATAGAATACATCTCCTCCTGGAAAGTATTTGTTTTTTCTTGGTATATTCTTTCTGCAGATCTCTGATTTTCCATGATAGCCAAAAATCAGGATTTTCCTTTCTCTGCAAACAGCTTTAGAGTCACAATTGAGTAGGTATTTATAATCCAGAAAGGTCATTTTTTCCCCCTAAACTTTATAATTCTCACTTTGTAGATAGCCCAAAATGCTTTCTTTTTTTCACAGCTGTTCTGTTATTAAGACATTGAAGGTCACCAAACCAAGTTATGTTTTTCTGGGCTTTGCCAGTTCCTATATTGGACCAACTACTGTTGTATATTTTCATCCACCACTGGATGTCAGCACCAGTTTGTTTTTCAGTTTTCAAAATAAATAATTGCTTTTTTCTGTTTTCATGATTTAAAAAGAAAATCTTAACAAATTCCACCAATTTCAAACTTATCTAGGTTTAGATCTTATATTCATTTCATTTCAATATATTTCTATCCCCCATAAAAAGTTTAATTCATCGCTTCCATCTGTAGGAGGGTGGGGCAAAAATCCTCCTCCTTCTCACTTTCACTTTTGCTTCTTGGGGTTTTTTTCCTCCAGGAAATCAATTATCAAGTAGAAGAGAGAAAATCAACGTTCTTGCCCAGTTCCAATCACACTGTTTACAGTCAGCTTAAAATAGTGCTTTTGGGTTTCGGCTGCTTGTAGCTTGGGCTAGACTCTGGAGTTAAGCTAGCCTTTCTCCTGCTAGTTTCTGGAGGGCTTTCCCTGAATGACCAGATTGACTGCCATCTCTTCACAGTTGGCAGGGCTTCCCTCCTTCTTTGTCGCCTCTCTGGGGTGACTTTAGGCCCATTTAAGGTCCCCAAACAGAAATAAATAGGCCGTAGGGTGCGGAGCCCTGTGATCCCTCAGCTACTTGAACTACTGCGCAAAACCGGAAGCCCAAAACCTGGCTTTGTTTGTTGCTGCTAGGGTCGCTATGTTTCTCTCCTATGACTGACTTTTTTTCAATTGCTCTCTTTCCTCTGTCCTCGCCTCAGCTCCTACCAACGTAGTATTTTGAAAGGATGCAAATATGAGTAGATAAATAGGTACCGCCATTTCTATAACAACAATCTTATCTAATCAGCAAAATCCAAAGTCAAAATGAGAATTATTTCTGAGCTGAAAAGTTTGCATCAGTGTGTCAGACCCAGCGTGCTGCCCACCCTCCGATAGCCTTGTTACCAGTCCGGGAACCAGCAGATGACCCAAGCACTCCCAGCCATAGATCTGGTGGCTCCGTGTGCTGCGCCACCATTACAGCTACTGAGTTGGACGCTGGGATTCCGGAGCGGCAGCCGAGCAGCCCACGTGACCATCCGACGTCATCAGGAAACACCCGGATGGTTGCCCCGTCACAATACGGAGCGAAAGGGGCCGAATGAAATAGACGCTGTTCCATTGCTGCTATGGCTAGTTAACTGTACAGGGTTGCTGGGTCTGACAAGCATGGACGCTGGGGCAGGGGACTGGGCAGTAGAGCGGAATGCTGCTAATTCTGTTAAGGTTGCCGCTACGTTTGGGGTGTGGACTGGGACAGCACAGCACTTGTAATCAGTGTATTGCTAGGGCGTGGGTGTTAGCTGGGATTGGGCGAGGCACGGGTGGAGTATAATCACGGGTGGTAATTGGTGTGTGTGCTCTGGGCATGGTAGTTTATTGTATTTAAGGCACTGGAAGGAGGTTCCTTCCAGTGCTAACTTTGTTTCAACACAGTGAATTCAACTTGTTGGATGTTTCAACGTTCCTGTTTCCTGGCTTTTGTGAAGCTCAACCAGGACATTCTTATACAGTGCAGGTAAATGGAGGAGCAAAACCAAAAAAATATCAGCTACCTTGTTAAATGATCTTGGCCAGACGATGGCACTCTGATTGATGAAGACCTTGACTTTGGAAATGGCTTCTCTTTCTGCACTCCCAACTTTCAACCCAGCAGAAGACTTGTTGGGAAACATTCTCCAGTGCATGATATCAAAGTCAGCAAAGGGAATCCCATTTTCATCCAAATAAACTCCATCACTGGAAAGATTTTGAAGCTGAAAGTTTCTCATGAACCAGTGAAGCTGCAAACATACAGGAAAGTATACATGCAGCTTAGACATTACAATTTGAGCCTTTATTTTATTTTTTATGGTTATTATTTTGGAGTGGAAGTGCTCTAAATAATTCATCCTCTTCAGCTCAGTACTTCTGTCTGACAGATGATGATTCAGTACTTTATGGGAAATTTCTCTCCCTCCTTCTCTAGGAAACAGCAGATATTTTTCAGATACATCTTCCACTTTCTTTTTCTTTTTTCTTTTTTTAATTTTTATTTTTAACCAACAAGACAAAACAGAACAAAGCAAAACATAACACACATACACACACAATATATACTCCTCCTTTTTTTTTACAGTAATTACGTAATGGTAATCTAATATTTACATTTCCCTCTTATATTTCTTGAATAAAGTTGAAAATGTTTTACAGATGGCATCTTCCACCAGCAAAGCTTGCCAAGATGTTCCAGAATAATTCGCCAACATGCTGGAAATGTAAAAAAGTACATGGAACATATTGGATCCAAGAAATAATAGACCAACCTGTAGACTAGAAACCAGAGATCTTTTGTTGGGTATTTTAAATAGAAAATATAGTAAAGAAATATGGTACTTAATTTTACTTATAATAACGGCGGCAAGAATAGCATATGCACAGTGCTGGAAAAATGAAATATACCACCAGAGGAAGAAGTGATAAGAAAAATCCTGGACTGTGCTGAGATGGACAAATTAACAAAAGAGATAAAAGAAAAGGAAGACACAGAGTATTATATAGTATGGAACAAGGTGTATGTCTGGTTGGAGACTAGAAATAATAGAGGAGAATAAATATGGAAAGGTCAAAAGTATATGTATAATAATGTATAATAATAATAATATGAATTATTCTTAGTAAGAAGTAGAACATGAAGGAAGAAAAATGTAAATAAGAAATAATGGGGCTATAAGGACAAATATTTAAAGAACATCTTCCACTTTCTTGAAGGAATCATTATATTGCCCTATCAATCCATGTTCTTCATCATAATTTTGAAAAATAAAAATACATAAAGCTGAAATTTCAAATATATTTTTTCCTTGTGATACTGAATGAGACTTTCTTAATTTCTTATGTCTTTTTTTTTTAAAGAAAAATCCCGAGTGTTTGTATGTTTATTACTCAGACAACATGAGCGCTGTTTCCTGCTGTGTAAAAAAGTTCCTGTCTGGAGAATCTAATCCAGCAAGGACCCCATTGCAGCTCTCCCCAGGCCTTCAGATAGCACAGCTGCTAGTATAACACCAGCAGCTGGATGTGAAGAAAGAACAATTATATGAAAGCTGTAGAACAGGGGTGTCAAACTGCTGGCCTACGGGCCCTATGGAGATTGCACCCACCACAGCTCTGGCAATGAAAAAAAAAACATTGTGATATGTCACAACATGTCATGTGATGTGCTGAGTTGGACACCCATGCTGTAGAATATAGACATTGGAAGAAAATAGGAAGGCTGACATGATACTCAAGAGAAGGGATTGAGTTGCTAGTGGTTGAGTTCAGACATGTCTCCATCATCTTCAGATGGTCTAACCAGCCAGAGTCCAACTCCGAGTGAAGTTGTGACTTTATCTGACAGATGCTGAGAATATCTCTCACAGCAACCCTACAAGGGTTCTACCTGTTCCTTCTTTTTCAGGGAAGACCTGGTTACTCAAAACGGGGCCAATAATCAGCTACCAGCAGATGTAATAAGAGCAGAGAAGTGATTAGGATTCACTGCTTTTATAACACAAGTTTTGGGAAAACCCCAAAATGGAGAAGAAGTTTTTAACAAGGCCAGGTGAAGATCAAGTTAGAAAGGCTTTGCTTCGGGCTATGAATGGGAGAAAGGTTGTGTAGTGAAATTCAAAAATTAGCTACTGAGGTATCTCCACTATTCCAGGAGATGTGTGGATGATCTTTTTATTACCACAGAAGATGCTTTGAACAGACATTAATTTACCTTGTTGCTGTGCACAGGATCTTCTAAGAAGCTAAAACCACTTTTAATCCAGAACATAAACTAACTAAATTTGGTTGTTTTCTTGCCGATGTTTCAATACATAAACTAGGTAAAATCATTGATACTGAGCACAGATTATATTGCCTAGTTCGGGTAATGAAACATCTGTGGGAAAACAACCAAGCTCAACAGAGCTCTCATTTCAACCCTGAGCTACAAATATTCACCTTTATTGGCCAAGACTAACTCCTTGGCTTGAAAACAAAGCAAAACCAGTATAGGACTCACAGGAGAGGATTGAGAGGACTGTTGGAGAATCCTGATGCTTATTTAATTTGGAAATTGTTACTATATAGCTGTTTCTGTCATTAGTAGCATCCCAAACCAGTTCTGATAGTGTAACATGGAAGATTTATCCTCATAATCTCTCTCATACTCACTCTTACATGCTACAAACTGGGCTGTTTGGAATAGCTCACTTCTCCTTATGTCTAACTTAATATTGAGGAATTGAAAGGGGAGCATCTGTGGAGAAATCTCACCTGCCATGGTTGTACAATATGAGGTGACTGATGGCCTCTAACCTGCACCCTCCCCTTACTCAGTTGGGAGGAAGAGGCAGCACTGAGGATCCAGGCCACAGCTTGGATTGCATCGGAAATACTGGCGCCGTCATTCAGCAGGTATCTTTTAACCATAGCACGGGGTGGGTTCTCCTGGATCTCTTTTTCTGTGCACCTTTCCCAAACTTTCTTACACAACACAGGCCTTGAAAAGGAACACTGGAATGCTTTCTTTACAAACTGTTTGTCAGTAGAGGAATATAAATTAAAGTAATAAGACTCTGTCTTTCTCTTTGTCTTGGTGAGGAAGGAAAACAAAGCATGTTTACTTTGGAGATCAAGCACACGGTAAAAGAGTCTGATACTGAAATCAGACCAAGTTGTTGCAATCCACACTTTTCCCCCAATGAAGGTTTTATTCTTTTCATGAATATGTATTAATGCAAATAGTATGGCGATGGCATGAAAATCCAGTTGACAAACTATAATTTTCACTTGATTATTGATTAAAAAAAGGACTATTTTCTTTTCGTCTTGCTTGGACATTTGTCCAAACCTTGTATCTATATTCGATGCTGAGATGGTCTCTGAGAGGACAATGCAAATCCCACTTTTTACAGCTAGAGTTTCCAAGCTTCTTTTAAAGGTTTCTCCTCTTTCATTGTGCTGAGAAAGGAGCCCAATCCAGGTCCATGGGAAATGCAGGAGTAGCTTGACAATTCCTGAGTAAGGAGGATCTTGTTTCGGGGTCATCCGGTAGAAAAAAGGAAAATAATTATTTTGCTCAGGAATGTGGCTGATAACACCGTAGTTGATCTAAGAAGAAAGACAAAATTGTGGTAGCTTGTTTTTTTATGATAAAGTCACATGTTTAACCGTAAGGATCTTTCCCCACTGTTGATGCTTTTGCAACAGGCATTTGAGCAGAATGCAGAATACAGCAAAACAGAGTAGGAAGGTACTTGGAGTTCTTCTAGTCCAACTCCCTGTTTAAGCAAGATACCGTATACTATTCTGAAGAGCCGAGGTGGCGCAGCAGTTAGAGTGCAGTACTGCAGGCCACTTTAGCTGACTGTGTTCAGCAGGTCAGCGGTTCAAATCTCACCGGCTCAAGGTTGACTCAGCCTTCCATCCTTCCGGGGTAGGTAAAATGAGGACCCAGATTGTTGGGGGCAATGTAAATATATATATACATTGCTTACTGGTGTACACCGCTTAGAGAGTGCTTGCACTTAAAGCGGTATATAAGTCTCATAAATAAATAAATAAATAAATAAATAAATAAATAAATTAATTAATAAATGGTTCTCCAATCTCTTCTTAAAAACCTCCAGTGATGGAGCACTTATAACTTCTGAAGGCAAATTGTTCCACTGATTAATTGTTCTCACTGACAGGAAGTTTCTCCTTAGTTTTAGGTTGACTCTCTCCTTGATAAATTTCCATCCATTACTTCTTGTCCTCCTTCTGGTGCTTCGTAGAATACATTGAATATGACAGCCCCATATATATTGCAACACTGCTATCATGTCACCCTAGTCCTTTTCTTCATTAGACCAGATATACCCAGTTCCTGCAACAGTTCTTCATATGTTTTACCCTGCAATCCCCTAATCCTGTTTGTTGCTCTTATCTGCTTTATAGAGGGGGAATAGGGATGAGAGTCCAGCTAGTCATAACAATAATAACTTAGCTGTGGGAACCCAAGGATATTGGGCCCAGAGCTGATAGTGTTTTGGTGGATTGGAGAGTTGGGGAGAAAGCCCGTGCTTCAAGCTAATTGGGGAATGTAATTTATGATTTTTTTTGAAGTATGGAATTATACTTTGTTACTTTGTATCCAGGGGAGGAAAATTTAGTTTTTGGTTTCAACTACATATGTGGTGCCGATACTTTGTTTCTGAAATAAAAGATTCTTTAAGGTAAACAATGCCTTGAAGTTCTTTTGAAGAGTTTCATCTGTCGAAACCATGATGATTATATTATTGTCCTTATGTCACTGATTTCAAATATTTGCTAATAAACTGTTTTATTGGTTGTCAATGATTAAACTCAGACCTCTGAAATTCAGAAACCTATTTAATAACCTTTAATCCAAGAACACAAGATAATTGGCATTGTGGCAAGCATCAGTTCATCATGGAAGAGAATAAACTCATCATGACATTCTTTGTGCTGTCATACAGACTAGAGGAAGCATATTAAAACTGTTGTCTGGAAGTACCTTTAAGCTCTTCATGCTCTTCTCTGACTTTCCTTGACCCATTCACTTTTCCTTCATATCTTTCTTTTGCAATTTGAGCTTCAGATCCAAACCTTTTTAAAAAAAACACCGAATTTCATAAGTATGAGGATTGTTGAGCTGCTCTGTTTTCTGGAGTTCCATCACTCCAGGTTTTCAAGGAAAGGTTGATAGCCATTTGTCTGGAGTGGTTTGAGAATTCCTGTTCTGAGCAGGGGGTTGGATTAGAAGATTTCTACAGTCCCTTTTATATTTTTATAACTAAATTAAATATATTTTTATATTAACTCTGTTAATATATTTTTAATATTATTTGAGAAAAACTCAACTCACATTTTCATTTCCCAATGGCAGAAGTACATTATTATATACAGTCGTCATGGTTTTTTTCAACAAACACTCATTCTTGCAATTGGCTACATTCTACCTGTTCTCTTTCTCCAAACATTTCTGTGCCTTAACACTTCATCTGTCCCCGACTTTAATAAACTTTATAATAAGAGACCCAGGTTCTTATATATGTTGTTTTGATTCTTTGAAGAAACACTCCTTAGCAACAGAAAAGGAGAGATCCCAAAGCTAAGACATGGTTTCTAATGCATATTCTAGCAGGGAGACAAAAGAAATATAAATATACTTTATAAAAAGAAAAGTATTTGAGATATGTTAATATCTAATCTCTGTGCGAAGATTTATTTGGAAGTAACTACAGCATGGAATTAAATTCATTCTAGCTTTATACCTGGGATTTTTTTAAACAATATTTTATTAGGTTTTAAAAGGGTAGGGGAGGGATAGGGTCAATATGGGTATTGGGGTTCAGGGTAAGGTTCGGGAATGGGATTGGGATAAGGGAAGGTACAACAGTGGGGTTGCCCCCAGTAACAATTCCATGCTTTAGCAAGCAGACTATTGTACGGATATAAATATTCAATAACAATAATTAATATATGACATTATACCTGTGGGATTTTGTAGATGCCCAAGAAAGTAGAAACATGATCAAAGAGCTGAGATTCTGTCTCTTCAAGAACTGCCAGCAGTTTCTTTTGCCTTCCACATCTGTAGTTTGGGACGTTCTCCTGCCCTGTAGAGAGGAAGTCCATCATGGCCTCATAGGTTATTTTTGCATTGAAGAAGTTCTCATAGATGTTGTAGCCCAGGGAGATGTTGGGTAAGAGCCTTGGGCTCTGGTTGATCTCATGAACAGCAAAGAAGAAGGGCAGGATATGGCAGAACATTGTCAAAGAACTGCAAAATAGCAGCATATCTATTCAACAATTTAATAATATTCAAAAAACATAATTAAAATATATTCTTTCCCCCACGTGCAAGACCAATCACCCTCACAGTTCAACCCACCATCCTAGCCCAATGCATGAGAGAAGAGTCACGTATTCACAGCTCATCATAGTGCTAAAGATGGAGTGTTAACAGATGTACATGTAGTATGCATTATAATTATATCTTATTATTTCTTTCTATTAGACCACCCAGGTAGTGACAAATGGCTGTACTCCAGTGCAAGATTCACTCTTGAGCAGGTGGAGATGGTCCACTCCTCCAAAATTCATCAATAGATCCAGAGATTATTTTGCTGCTAACTGTTGATGACTTTGGAGTGATTACCCTATATTCAAAAATCTTTAATGTGATCTTCTGCAGCTAAACAATTAATTTGACACAGAAAGTCGCTATTCTCTTTGAATTTGGTTTTTAAAAGGTATTTCTTTTATTTAAATGAAAAGTAACATGGAAGCCTAAAAAAACATACAAAAAAGTAAAATGCAGTGGTTGGAAAGAAAGGGAAGGGAGGGAAGAAGGAAGGAAAGAAGGAAGGAAGGAAGGAAGGAAGGAAGGAAGGAAGGAAGGAAGGAAGGAAGGAAGGGAGGAAGGAAGGAAGGAAGGAAGGAGTGCAGCATAGGGGATGAAAGGAGATTTGGGGAGCCAGCTCAAGAGATCAGCTTCTGCTCCAAAGTATTGAATCACCTGATTGTCAGATTGATCTTTATATGCACATAGTCCTAGATGTATCACCACAACTGAGCCCAAAATTTCTGTTGCTAACTGAGACAGATGTTAAGTGAATTTTGCCTCATTTTATGACCTTTCTTGCCAACACTGTTAAGTGAATCATTGCAGATGATAAATTAGTTACACAGTTGTTAAGTGAGTCTGGCTTCCCCATTGTCAGAAGGTGGCAAAAGGTGATCACCCAAGCCCAGGACACTGCAACCGTCATAAATATGAGTCAGCTGCCAAGCATCTGAATTTTGATCACAGGATCATGGGGATGCTGCAATGGTCATAAATGTGAAAACCAGTTAAAAGTCAGTTCTTGTGTAACTTAGAATAGTCAGCAAATGAATTGTAGCAAGTTGAGGAATACCTGTAACTATAACTTATAAGTAAATAAATAAAAATAAATATTTGCTGACTTTCCACCGAACCGAAGTAATAATTTTAAGAACAACAGAATCCCACCAGGCAAGAATCACTTTGGAAGGGTGTTGTTAAATCTGCCCAGTGTTGAGGCTGACCCTTGATGAAAAAACTTAAAAGGAACTTTGCAAGTTCGGCTTTCATAAAAGCAGATTGGGAGAAGCAATATGAAGCTGCTTTTTCCAAGGTGAGAAATTGGGAAAAAATTACCTTCTCAACCTGTGAGCTGGAGGCTTGGAAAGAACATAAGGATAACTTCGAGAAAATATTTTAGATGTTATTCCAGTAATCAAGTAATCTCCTGGTTTGTAGTAATTAAACTCCTTCTCTTTTTCTATTGTCACCTTCAATGGACATTTTGTTTGCATTGTGGCATAGGGAAATTGGGGCAGAAGAACAAGCAGAAAGAGCTGCTTTTGCAGCAGCATCCTTTGTCATATATTGACGGAGATCCTTCCTGTAGTTCTCCCTCTGGGAAAGAGCTCAGAGCTCCCAAAACATAACTGCAGTGAAGATAGTCCAGTCTGGCTCCAGATCTGGAAGACAAACCTGCAATGGCAGACTAGTACAGCCCTTGCATGATTCTACCTCTTTTCTGATTAGTGCTGGAGGTAGTTTACAGTTATACAGTTATTGTAGATCCCATTTTGTTGTCAGATTGCTTTAAAACTGATGGTGCTGGTGATGGACATACCCTTAGAGTTTGTTCAAAATAAAATAAATCACCATGATTTTAATAATTAGAAGGGGAATTGGGAATGTGTATTGCTACATAGGTATGGCATGGAGGAAAAAGTTTAGCCTAACTCAGAGGCACAGTTCCAGTTTAAGGGAATAATTCAGTGAAGTTTGATTGCTTTTGACTTACTTTTTTCTTGCGATCCTAAATCTTATTTATTGTTCAATTTCTATAGCCATCCATCTCAGTCAATGACTCTAGCAGCTTACAGAGTTTTTATTTGTATCTTGTTTCAAGAATGTATCAAAACACTGTTCACATGAGCTGTTGTGCTTGAGGTAGAAAATATTCCTGGGCACCTCTTTATGGTCATAAATACATATTTTATTATTATCTCCATCTATCTTGGGGTGTTTATTGAGTCTTGCATACCAGAGATTTGGGACATTTCTAAAAGTTTCCTTCCTTGTGCAACGGATTCTCTTTTCCAATTTCATTTTAAAGAGAATGTGTGAGTGTTCACTGCTTAACCGACTTTTTCTTCATTCAGTCAAATATCATTTCATATCCTGCCAATCAGGGTTTCATGGTCAATCTATTGCTTTGCTTATATGTCTTTCCTCTGACTTTTCTCCTTACAACAGGAGCACCACACCACCATCTCCCATACAATCCTGTCCTCTTCATTCCAATGATCTGTGCAGTCTATTAAACAGTCTCACTCCTCCTCTGTTAGTCCCTCCCTCTGCTTTGGGATTGTCTTGGACCCATTTTTTGGTTAAAAAAGTTTTATTCATTTGTTATTGTTTTACACTTTCAGACCTTGGTATGTCTGTCTAATGACATATGAAAGGGGTGGACCATCAATAGCATGGTTGCAATCATCAACTTTTCAAAACTCCACGTGAATGCCCCCTGATTACAAGGTGGATTAGTGGGTTGTTCAGGATGGACAACTCTGGTACGGAAAGTGTTTCCCCGGGACCCCTGATTGCTATTCTATATTTTTCTAAGTCAGAGGCGAGTTAAAGGATTGGCTTTGCCTCAGCATGATATCCGAATGATCTCAGCTTTGGAGTAACCCTAGGAGGAATGTGTCATTCTTTCAATGCAATTCTTGTCAGGGGACAAAATGTCAGATGTTGATGGGCCACCATAGCATTGCAAAGTGTAAGGCATTTAAAAAGGTAGCTGATCACTTCTCAAACCTAGACGTTGTGGTTGAGATGCAAACATGTGCAAGCTATCTGCTATTGATTTGGCCTCCTCAGTAGCCAATATTGTATATAATGCCAATGGAGAGAAAAGAATCTGTCAGCATAGAAGAAGATGCCCCTTATATATATATACTTTGATATAGAGGGTATAGTTAACAGAAAAGCTAAAAGATCTATATTTGGTTGCATTCAAAACTTTTCCTTTTAGTATTAATGGATAAACCATTGGGGAAAAAAAAGCTATGGAAGACTAGTTCAGTACAAGATCTCAGTAGTGAGATTACTGTACATACAAAGATGGAAAGATTCTATACTATCCACTAAGAAGGAATAACTGGTGAATTTGACAGATATAGCTGATAAATTAACTTTGATTAGAGAAAGGACATTATCTACATGTACTGATGATTAGAACCGTCTTATTCATTACTTGCATAACAATAAATTAACTTGTGATTTATGGTTTTGATAATTAGATAGGATGGATTACAGAAAGAAGAGTAATATGATGTAACTTTACAGAGAAAGGCTAAAATATATTTGTACTTTAATAAAGTATCTACTTTATCAAATGCCTTACTGAAGTCCAAGTAAATTATATCCACAGCATTCCTTTGATCCACCAATTTTGTCACTGGGTCAAAGAATGCAATAATATTTGTCTGGCATGATTTGTTTTTGACAAACCCATGTTGGCTTTTAGTAATGACTTTGTTTGCCTCTAGGTGTTTGGTGATTCGTTGTTTGATTATCTTTTCCAAGATCTTCCCAGGTATTGAGGTCAGGCTGATAGGTCTGTAATTTCCTGGATCCATTTTTTTTCCTTTTTTGAGGATGGGAACTACATCAGCTCTTTTTCAGTCCTCTGGTAGTTCCCCAGTGCTCCAGGATCTTTGAAAAATATAGTTCAGTGGTTCTGAGATCACATCTGCCAGTTCCTTGAGAACCTTGGGGTGTAATCCATCTGGTCCTGGCAATTTGAACTCGTCTAGGCTGGACAGGTGGTCTCTTACCATTTTCTTGCCTATCTTAACTTGTGTTGTAGGTTGTAGTCTACTTTATCAAATGCCTTACTGAAATCTTACTTAAAACTTGCAAGTGTATTCAAGAAGTTTCAGAATACTCTTTCTATGGTTTAGTTGCTGAAAAAGTTAGTTCTCACATATAAAAAGAAATGTCCTTGATTCAGAAGAAAAACTCAGAAGGGTTTTTCCATTGGTGGAAAAGAGGCTTACACTGCCATGCTAAAATATCCTTATTTACAAGCCAAGAATGAAGTCTAAAAAGCCAAGAAATACTACCAGATATAGAAACATAAAAAGATGGAAATTGGGCGTAAGCAGGAGACCACTTCAAAAAGCTGCTGCATAAATAGTGTTTTACCCTGAAAAGTACCTAATGATGAATTAAAATATTGGGTGTGAACATCTCAGATAACCTGGGATAACCCCAAAGCATCTATCACAATCACTTTCCTACTTCCCTTTTCAACATCAGTTACTCCTTTGTACTGAGGTCTGGTCTCATACAATGATGTAACACTTTTTTATGTGTGCTTTTTAAGGAACATCAAATAGCAAATAATAATCCTGACCTTTGAGGACAGACACACCAAAAGTTAATTTCTATTTTATTTTGACATCATATGTTCTTTGGTATTCAGATCAGGTCTTAAAAAAATAATGTAGCACTTGGGAATGAAGATGAAGCCCAACAGCCCAGTAATGGAGGCCAAGATGGAGAAGACCTGCACAGCCATCATGTACTTCCCCCTGGTGCTCAGGTAGGTGGGCATGAAGGACACCCAGACATTGCAAAAGACCAGCATGCTGAAGGTGATCAGGTTGGCTTCGTTGAAGGCCCCAGGGAGATTCCTAGCCAGGAAAGCCACTGTGAAGCAGATGGCAGCCAGAAAGCCATGTAACCAAGGGCAGAGTAAAACATGGTGACAGATCCTTCATTGCACTGCAAAATAATCTCTCCATATTGGGAATGAATGTCAGACTCAGGGAATGGGGGAGAAGTACCCAACCAGATGCTACAGATGGCAACTTGGACAGCAGAGCAAGAAAAGATGATGGAATTGACCAAGCTTTTCCCCAGCCATTTCTGAATATTATTCCCTGGTTTAATGGCCAAGAAGGCTAAAACTACTGTGATTGTTTTAGCTAAGATTGAAGAAATGGCAACTGAGAAGATGATACTGAAGGCTGTTTGTCAGAGAAGGCAGGTTTGTTTGTTTGGCCCACCAATGAAGAGGAAGGAGGTCAAAAAGGAAAGCAGGAGGGAGATGAGTATGTAGGAGAGGTCCCGATTGTTGGCTTTGATGATTAGAGTTTCCAGGAATTTAATGAAGATTCCCAAAACAAAGCCTGTGATTAAAAACATAAATAAGGCAATAGAAACCAGGATGATGCCCAGAGTTTCTTTATAAGAAAGGCAGCTATTAGTCTTGGGAATACAGCGAACTTGTTTGATATTTGGAAGTTGATCTCGCTCACAGCTCTTTTTTTCCCCTTTCTCAGCAACTGGGAAGGCAGTCTCTTTCCTCTCTCTTTCTCTCTTTCCTCTTCCTCTTCCTCTGTTTCCTCCCTCTTTCTCTTTCTCTTTCTCTTTCTCTTTCTCTTTCTCTTTCTTTTCCTCTGTTTCTCTCTCTTTCCTCTCTCTCTTTCTCTCTCTTATGGCAGTATCGTCGGGGGTCCCCACCGCCCTTGGCCTCTGCATGTCCTAAGCCGAATGGGTGGGGAGGGGGAGCAGGATGGGAGGCAGTGGCTCCGATGGCAGCGGCAGCAACAGGTCAGCATCGTTGGAGTCCCTGCTGCCCCCGGCCCAGCCTCCACCCCCGCTGGGACTCTGCGCTGCCCGGCCTCGCCCTCCACCCATCTATGGAGCCGTGGTGGAGGCAGCAGCTGCCCGAGCAGCAGGAGGAAGGAGAGGAGGAGAGCGAGGAAGCAGTTGCCCTAGCCAGGACTCCGCGCTGCCCGGCCTCACCCTTCGCCCATCCAATGGAGCCACAGTGGGGGCTGGTGCTGCGCGGCCCCTGCCAGCCCCTTGTCCAGCCCAGCTGCAGGCACCCCTCTTGTCCCGGCATCCGCCCGAGCCACTTTGGGGGCAGCAGGAGGAAGAAGGGGAGGAGGAAGGGGAGGGCAAGGAAGCCACTGCCAGCACTGGGCCCCAGGAGGTGGATTTCCTCTCCTACCTTTGCTGCATCTCCTTCTTCCTTCCCAGCAGCCTGGATTCCGGTGCGCCTTCCTGGTCAGCAGGTCCAATGGTTGGGCTGGCTGGGGATTGCAGGGGCTGGTCTTCCTTGGGCCGCAGCTTGCGGGAGGGCTGGCCCACTCAGTGGAGCTTCCAGTGGGCCGCTCCCAGCAGGGATCCCGGGGCTTCCCCAGGCGGCTCCAAGCCACGAGGCTCTGGCTACGCTTCTCCCAGTGGAAGCAAAAGTGCCTCTCTGTCTCTCTCTCTCTCTGCA